TTTTTTTTTAATTGAATTTATGGGGATGATATTGGTTGATAAAATTATATAGGTTTCAGGTGAAAATTCTATAATACATCATCTGTATATTGTATTGTGTGTTCACCACCCCAAGTCAAGTCTCCTTCCATCACCATTTATCCTCTTTCCCCTACCCCCCCACACTCACACCCGTTCCCTCTGGTAATCACCATACTGTTGTGCGCGTCTATGAGTTGTTATTTTTTGCTTAATCCCTTCACCTTTTCACCCCCCACCAACTCCCCTTCCCTCTGACAGCTGTCAGTCTATTCTCTGTATCTATGAGTCTGTTTCTATTTTGTTTGTTACCTTATTTTGTTCCTTAGATTCCACACATATAGTACTCGTCTTTCTCTGACTGGCTTATTTCACTTATACCCTCCAGGTCCATCCATGCTGTAGGATTTCCATTTTTATGGCTAGCAATATTCCACTGTATACTACAGCAATATTCCAGATATACCACAGCTTTCTTATCCACTCTCCTACTGATGGGCACTTAGGCTGCTTCCAAATCTTGGCTATTGTAAATAATGCTGCAATGAACATAGGGGTGCATATATTCTTTGAATGAGTGTTTCAGGTGTCTTTGGATATATTCCCAGAAGTGGAATCTCTGGGTCATAAGGTAGTTCTATTTTTAATTTACGAGGAACCTCCATACTGTTTTCAATAGAGGCCGCACCAACCTGCATTCCCACCAACAGTGCATGAGGGTTTCCTTTTCTCAGAAGACTTCTGTATTGGTTTGATTTGATCCATCATGTAACAGCATCACCATTCATCAAATAAACACTGGTTGCTGGTTATAATGAAGTATTTACTGAAGAATTGCTTTATGAAACCAAATGACTACTACATTTGAGTTTGGCAAAAATAAGTACAAAGATTGGGACATGGTAGGGCTGCTTCTGAATGCACTGGAGCACTTCCCGAAAGAAAACAGCAAGCTTGGATCTTTAAACTGTCAGCTCAGATTTATGATCAGAAGAAGAGAGAATTACTATGGCAGCCCTAATAAAAACTTTTATGTTTTATATAGCCACTGAGCTCACCTTGCTAACATCAGACTTAACTGTGCCAGTTGCAGAATTACAATGTAAGTTGAATTCCACATAGACTCACCATGTTTCATGTAAAAGTGAAAGCACAGAATGAGAAAGAGTGAGATCCTGAGACAGGATAGGATATCTAGGTGGACTCAGCTGAAGCCGAGAATCCTGAACCCCCAAAGTTACTCTGAGCCTCCACAGCCAGTGAAAATAAAAATAGCCTGCTCTCCTGTATCTGAAGAGACTAGCTCTCCCTGGCTTCAAGAACCTGTAATAACCTCACCATAACTCTAAGGGTGGTTTTCTTGCAAGAGAATTCCTCTTCTCAAGACCCAACTGGTCCATGCCTTACTGCCACCCATAATAGGGTTCCAGCAAACATTCTCTGGGAAAGAAGTACCAAGTCTGATCACAAAGTAGTTAACTTACACACACAAATAATTGCAAGATTTTGCTATTTTGTATTGGTAGAAACCTGGGACATCTGTGTGAGAATGAATTCTAAGACTGTTAGACTGAAGAAAAGAGAATATAACACCAGATTGGGCCTTTTTTTTTTTTTAAATATGAGTCACTTACCAGAGATTTATAATTTAATGGTTAGCTTATACAATTGGAAAGGATTCTTAAGAGTTATCGTGGTCCCCATAATAGCCTACAATTAATACGATTGGGAGGTCACAACTTGCCTGACATAATGTAGAGGCAGGGATCCGAGAGTTTATGGAAACAGGAATGTTGGCGTGGATTTATCACATGTAACTTGTAAACACAACCCCTACCACCTCTATATCAAGAGGGCCCAGTGAATACTCCCTCACCAAGGCTCCAGCTTCATAACAAGAGTACAATTATATGGGCAAGAGGTTATTAACCTGGCACTTTAATGCCCTGCCAGTTAATAAAACTCGCCATGTTGCTACTAAATAAGAATCTCTCCATTTTCTCTCTCTAGCTCCTTTTTTGTTTCTTAATGGTTCTTACTACAAATGGCAATTATTTACTTGTCTGGTTTTCTGTTTTGCTTGTTGTTGTTTTTTGACCTATATGTTTCTCTGTCTCTTCCACTAGCATATAAATTCCATGAGGGCAAGGACTGTATCTACCTCACTCACGCTGTGTTCTGACTGCCTGGCACAGAACCTGGGACACAGGCATTCGATGAAGATGTATTGAAAGTATAAGCAGAGTTAGTCTGTCTTTACCAACATTAAATTTTGGTCCTTTCTACTCCTGGAATAGATCTGTTCATGAAAACATTATCCTCCCAAAGAGATGATCTACAATGAGTTGAAAACTTGAACAAATGTATAAATCTCCTCCATGTACTTCAGCTTAGAACGAATGGACTGGTCTGCTGATATCACGTCTTCCATTAAATTTTTATTATTCCCAGAAAAAAATGTTTTTCAAATTTTTCAACAAGGAAAAAAAACAAAACATTTCCTTATAATAAAAGTCAATTTAGTACCAGCACCATCTGTTCCATCATGAATGTTTGAACAGGATCTAGTCTTACTCCAATCATATTTCTGTCCACAGTCACATGTCACCTCAGATCATAAGTTAACCAAATTCTCAAATATCATTAAAGTAGATCTTCTGACTCGTTAAGCAATTTTTGTACAGGCTGTAGCACTTGCCTGAAAGAGTGTCATGAGGTGGCTTTTCTTGTTCCTGTATCAATCATTCATATCAGAGCATTTAAAAATATAACATTCCATTTAATCAAAAATTTCTCTTTTCTGCATATGAACTTTTACTGTTTGGCAATTGAGAAAGAAACAGTGCTAAGCCCTGGCTGAGTGGCTCAGTTGGTTGGAGCATTGTCCTTACACCAAACTGTTGCAGGTTTGATTCTCGATCAGGGCACATACCTAGGTTGTGAGTTCGATCCCCAGTCGGGTTGTGTAAAGGACTGACCAATATCTATCTATCTCTCTCTCTCTCTCTCTCTCTCTCTCTCTCTCTCTCTCTCTCTCTCTCTCTCTCAAATCAATAAGCATACATCCTCGAGTTAGGATTAAAAAAAAAAAAAACAGTACTAAGATCCAGGCAGTATGCAAAGATCAGCTACTATTTAAGTAACTACACCTCAGGCTCATTAGTGTCACAGCTTCATTCAAATTCACACCTCAGCAAAATTGCAAAATACTCTGTGTCTTGGACTTTCAGGGTGGCATTTACATAGTTGAAACCTTGAAAGTTAAAATCCTTAAATGCCAAGGACTTCTCGTGTATCTATATACCACATGCTTACCTTTGTAAAGATCTGTGCTCTCGGGGGTCAAAAAAAATTTAACACACGTAATATTAGAAATCTATAAAGATCATTTTTCACCTAAAAAATTAAATGCATCTATGTGTAACTTGTCCAGTAGAACGAGATATGGTCTGGAAAGAAATAATAACAAAAATATATACCTCACAAGGATGCATGAAGGATCAAAGGGGATAATACATGTGAGGTAAAATAATAAAGCACTATATAAATGTTAGTAATAGGTGGTAATGTTAATAAAAACACAATACATTGTACACCTTAAATTTAGTACATAACTTTATATGTCAATTATGTCTCAATAAAAGGTGCGAAAAAATAATAATAAAATACAGTAACAATCCCCTCTTCTCAAAGAATTGGGGCAGTTTGTTAGCTGGCTACTTAGGTAAGTCAGTTAAAGCAAGGAATCCTATACAATGATAAATACACATTGTAACCATTTTATTTTAATTTAAACCATGTATAAGTAGAATCATTCACCAATCCTCTATGTGGGGCCAAGGCCTTTATCTTTGAGTTTAGATCTGCTGACTGGAATTCCAGCCTTTCTTGCATAAACCACACCCATAATGCAGCATTCATATATGGCAGTTCTAGTTGTTTTAAAATGCAACAAAAGCTTCAACACAATGAAATAATCAGAGAGTAAATTTCTTCTTTCTTTTTATAATTTTTCCAATATTTCACACTTGTCTTATTAGCCCCTAATTTCTGAAAAAACTCCCTTTTCTCACTTTTTTCAGAGCATTCAACTTAGTTTTTATAGAAATAACTTCCCTTTTTACACCAAGATTGCATCAGTTCACAGAATATTTATAACAAATGCATAAATGAGTTTGGGAACCAACACAACTGACTCTTAATAAGTAAATAATGTGACTTGTGGGCGTAAAAGGTGTAAAAGTGCACAAGCATCTCCCCCGGAGGGGTAGCTCAGTTAGTCAGAGCATCGTCCCGATACACCAAGGTTTCGGGTTCAGTACCCAGTCAGGGTGCATACAATAATCAGCCAGTGAACGCATGGATAGGTGGAACAAAATATGAATGTTTCTCTCTGTCTATCTGTCTGTCTCTCTGTCTCTCCCCCCGCCGCCCTCTAATCAATAAAGAAAGAAAAAAGTGCACAAGCATCATACTGATAAGTCTACCAGCCATAGGCCCCATACTGGGAACATCAGTAACTTTTACCAAGGATATGGACAGCAATGATTTATCCATCTAGCTGGTTAATTAGATATCAGTTTAAAAAGTCTTTGCATATGTAGTTCGGGTCTCAAGCACAGCTGACAAAGTTCAAAAGTTTCCCATCACACACACACACACGCTATACTTTGTATTTTTCTTCAATCATATAAAATACATATTTTAGAGACAATAAAGTCAATAAGTAAAAAAACACACAAGAATACTAAAATGAAGCAACAAAAAATATATAAGTGGAACATGATAAAATAATCAGAGAAGTCGACTCCTGACAAACTAAATGAGTCAACAAAAGACATTTTAAGCAAATTATAGTGGCCCTATATTAATTTGAAAAAATTGATGATCCACCTTAAAAACAGCCTGGTAACAGAATGAGAAAGAAGCTTTTGTATTTATTTTCTAATCATGAGGGCGGGGAGGGTGATGTGAGAACTTACTTATTTCACGGGAAACCTCATTCAGTTTATCCTGGGACCTGCTGATAAGGACAACCTTCATTCCACACTTTGCCAACTGAAATAGCAAAAGAGACACCAAACAGTTGAGTCATACCTGTGCATTTTATTGAAAACAGACATTAGATATATTCTCATTTTAAGAAAACCTGACCATATGATAATCCAAGTTAAAAAACAAGCAAACAGCCCTAGCTGGTTTGGCTCAATGGACAGAGTGTCAGACTGCGGACTGAAGGTCCCAGGTTCAATTCCGGTCAAGGGCACATGCCCGGGTTGTGGGCTCGATCCCCAGTTGGGGGCATGCAGGAGGCAGCTGATCCTTCTCTCTTCCTCTCTCAAGTCAATAAAAATACTAGTACATTAAAAACAACAACATACAAGCAAACAAATAAATTCCAGTGTAATAAATGGGGAATCCAAAATAAAGACTTTACAGGACTCCCCAAAGGATTATCTTTCTAAATCAAGTTAGTAAACAAATGTAAAAAGGTTTTAGAAGGAAGACTGTTACTTTTCATTTTGCACCCCGCTATACTGTTTGAATTCTTGAAATCATAATATACACAAAACTTTTTAGTGAACTATTCCACACAGCATATAAATGAGCCATAAATTAGCTGCTATGCACTATTAGTGATTTACTAAACTAATATTCCAGTCTTAAATTCTAAAGTTGGTTTTTATTAAATAATAAGCGATATTGCAAATGAGGAGATATAGAACATTTTTTAATAAAAATAACAAAGGTTGGTAATAATTTATTAAATTATTCTGCTGTAAAACCACTAAAGAAACCATGAGTCCAAACTGGTATGTCGTTTTCTCTTTTTCCATTAACAGGGGAGGGAGGATAAGGAAAATCTTTTATTTATAGAAAAATAGCATCTACTAAGTATAGAAGAAAAGATATCATTAGAAAAGTCACAATTTTTAAACCACCATGGTAATAACTAATTTAGGCAAAATTTTTCAATGGATGTTAAAATCTCTGGGTGAAAATCATTACTGGGAAATGGGATATTCACACAGTCTCGAAGTACCACCCCACATACTACTTATTAATTACAAAGGGGAAAGGCACCTTTATAATGGAGAATTATGGTGGGCAGCATTTTCATAAATGACATCTCTTTTTTATAATTTTTATTTATTGACTTTAGAGAGGGAGGGGAAGAGAGAAAGAGAAAGTGAAAGATAAATTTTTGTTGTTCCACTTGTTTATGCATTCATTGGTTGATTCTTGTATGTGCCCTGACTGGGGATCAAAACCCCATAACCTTGGCATAGAGGACCGATGTTCAAACCAACTGAGCTACCTAGTCAGGGCCAAATGATCTGTCTTAAGGTAATCGATAATAAAACAAGTAGACTTCTTGTGTCTCCTGATAAGATAAAGTCAGGATACAATAGCACCTTGTGTAGCAATCATGCTAAAAAATGTTTAATTAGAATCTAATCACAGGAAAACAATCAGACAAATTCAAATTGAGAAACTTTTATAAACTGGCCTGAATTTTTCAAAAATGCCAGTTACAAAAAAAAAGGGGGGGGGGTGGGAGTGGGGGCCTAGGAAACTCTTCCAATCAAGAGACATGACACCTAAATGCAATGCATAATTTTTAACTAGATGTGAAACCACAAATAAAAGAGCTACAAGGAAAGTTTCTGGGGCAATTGGGAAATTTGCATGTAGGCTATATGTTCGATGTTCCTTAACACTGCCGCGGAGGCGGGAGAGGCTCCTGCCACCGCCATTGCGCTCGCCAGCCGTGAACCCAGCTTCTGGCTAGTGGCGCTCCTGCATTGAGCATCTACTCCCTGGTGGTCAGTGTGCATCATAGCAACCAGTCATTCTGCTGTTCAGTCAATTTGCATATTAGGCTTTTATTATATAGGATTATATCAAGTTAAACTTTGACCACTGTATTGTTGGTTATAAGGGTGAACATTTTAAGATTCAGGGTGAAATACCTAAGGGTGAATTATTGTGATGCCTATAACTCACAAACGGTCCATCTAAATTATAATTATAATAAAATTAAATGTGGCAAATGTTAATAATTGGGGAATCCCAGTAAAGGGTATATGGGTGTTCATTATATTCTTCTTGGAACTTTTCTGTAGTTTTGCTATTCAAAATAAACTAGAAAAACAAAAGAGCCCTGGCTGGTTTTGCTCAGTGAATAGAGCGTCGGCCTGCGAACTGAAGGGTCCCAGGTTCGATTCCCATCAAGGGCACATACCCTGGCTGTGGGCTCAATCCCCAATGGGGGACTTGCAGGAGGCAGCCGATCCATGATTCTCTCTCACCATGGATGTTTCTATCTCTCTCTCCCTCTTCCCTCCTCTCTGAAATCAATAAAAATATATTTAAAAAAAGAAAAGAAAAACAAAAGAGGATTTTTTAAACAAGGAAGAAGAACCTTTAGGAGTGACAAATGAGAGATTCAGTGGATCCGCCAGGATCTTCATCTCAGCTGGGCAGTGTCATAGGCTGTGGGTGCCTTCTCGGAACTGGAAGGCAGGGAAGCTTCCCTGAAGAGTTCTGCCAAGGTTCCTGCTTTGTATGATGGCCTTCAAACTAATGGTTTCCTATCATTTCATTACATTCCAGAGAATCTGAACATTTTGCCTGTGTCTGCCAATATCTTTCTATCCATCAAAGTCCTTCTCATGAAAATGATACCATAAACTAGCATGGAAATATAACCTATATAATAATATAACCACCTTTTGGAAAATAATTCAAAACTGAGGACTATCCAATTACTCAAAAAAAAAAAAAAAAAAAGGCACCTTCTTACATAATATATTCCATATAGCATACAAACCATAAATTCCAAATGAATTAAAGACTTAAATTTAAGACTCGAAACCATAACACTCCTAAAAGACATAGGCAGTAAATTCTCTGATAATTCTCTTAGTAATATTTTTTCTGAAATATCTCCTCAGACAAGAGAAACAAAAGAAAAAAATAAACAAATGGGGCTACATCAAACTAAAAAGCTTTTGCACAACAAAGAAAAACACAACAAAGGAAATCATCAATAAAACGAAAAGACAACATACTGAATGAAAGAACATATTCCCAATGGTGCATCTGCTAAGGGGTTAATATCCAAAATTTGTACAGAACTCATATAATTCAAAACCAAAATAAACAGTCTAATTAAAAAATGGACAGAGGACCTGAATAGACACTTCTCCAAAGAGGACATACAAATGGCCTATTGACACAAAAAGATGCTCAATATTACTAATCATCAGAGAAATGCAAATTCAAACCACAATGAGATATCATCTCACACCTGTCAGAATGGCTATTATCATTAAATCAACAACCAACAAGTGTTGGCAAGATGTGAGAAAAGAGAACTCTGGTGCACTGTTGGTGGTATTGTAGATTGGTGCAGCCACTATGGAAAACAGAATGGATATTCCTCAAATAATCCTATATAATAAAAGCACAGTATGCACACAGTATGTCTCCTCGACCGGGAGTTGTCCAGAGTTCGACCAGGGGGGCGGGACCGGCCGGGGGAAGGGAGTGAGTACCCGGCCAGCGGCTGGCAGTTGCTAGGGACCCTACCAGTGCATGAATTTTGTGCACTGGGCCTCCAGTTAAAAACAGAACTATACCCAGTAATTCCACTTCTGGGTATATATCTGAAGAAATCTAAAACACTAATTCAAAAAGATATACGTATCCCATGTTCATTATGGTGTAATATTTACAACTAGAGGCCCAGTGCACAAAAATTTGTGCACTCGGGGTGGGGGTGTCCCCTCAGCCTGGCCTGTGCCCTCTCGCAGTCTGGGACCCTTCGGGGGATGTCCACTTGCCAGCGGGGAGCAGGCCTAAGCTGCAGTTGGACATCCTTAGCGCTGCTGAGGAGGCAGGAGAGGCTGCCACCACCACCAGTGTACTGGCAGCCATCAGCCTGGCCTGTGGCTGAGCAGAGCTCCTCCCATGTGAGAGCGTCCTGACCACCAGAGGGGAGCTCCTGCATTGAGAGTCTGCCCCCTGGTGGTCAGATGTGTCATAGTGATCAGTCATTCCCAGTCGTTCTGCTATTAGGGTCATTTTGCATATTACCCTTTTACTATATAGGATAGAGGCCTGGTGCACGGCTGGTTTGCCCTGAAGGGTGTCCCGTATCAGGGTGGGGGTCCCGCTTGGGTGCCTGGCCAGCCTGGATGAGGGAATGATGGCTGTTTGCAGCTGGTCACACTCCCTTCAGGGTGGGGGTCTTGCTTGGGTGCCTGGTCAGCCTGGATGAGGGGATGATGCCTGCAGCTGGTCACACCCCCTTCAGGGTGGGAGTCCCCACTGAGGTGCCTGGCCAGTCTGCGTGAGGGGCTGAGGGCCGTTTTCAGGCTGGCAGGTGACTGAAGCTCCCAACCTCTCCTTTTTTCTTTTTTTTTATTCTGGGATTTATTTACCTTCTATGGCTGTCACTGGAGCTGAGAGCCGCCTTTAGCTCTGAGGCGGGCTCTAGCTCTGAGGCCTCGGCTGCTGAAAGCAGGTATCTGCGTTTGTTTGGCTTCTATAATTGAAACACTGTTGCGGTCCTGCTGGCTGAGGCCCGGCTGGCTGAAAGCAGGTATCTAGGTTTGTTTAGCTTCTATAATTGCAACATTGTTTCTTAGAGTGCAGCTCAGAGCCCAGCAGCGGCAGGCGGGGAACCTTGGCTTCCTCCATCACTGGAGCAAGCAAGCCTCCTGTTTGCTTCAGCTGCCTGGCTGCCGGCCGCCATCTTGGTTGGCAGTTAATTTGCATATCGCCCTGATCAGCCGATGGGAAGCGTGTCAGAGGTACGGTTAATTACCATGTTTTTCTATTATTAGATAGGATAGCCAAGATATGGAAGCAATCCAAGTGCCCATCAATACACGAGTGGATAAAAAAAGATGTGGTAATACATACAATGGAATATTACTCAGGCATAAAAAAGAACAAAATCTTATCATTTGTGACAACATGGATGGACCTAAAGGTCATTATACTAAGTGAAATAAGTTAGACAGAGAAAAGCAAATACCATATGATTTCACTTATAGGTAAAATCTAAAAAACAAAAGAAACAAACAAAACAGAAACAAACTCATAGATACAGAGAACAAACTGAGGGTTGCCAGATGGGAGGGGGCTGGGGGACCTGGGTGAAAAAGGTAAAAGGATTAAGAAGTACAAATGGGTAATTACAAAATAGTCACTAGGATGTAAAATACAGCATAGGAAATATAGTTAATAATATTGTAGTAACTATGTACGGTGCCAGGTAGGTACTGAAATTATCAGAGGAATAACTTCGTGAATTGTATAATTGTGTAACCATTATGTTGCACACCTAAAACTAATATAAAATAGCTTTAAATGTCAACTGTAATTACAAAAATAAAATTTAAGTAAATAAATATAAACCAAATACTGTTCATATTTACACAATATAAAATAAAATTACACTAACTTTTTCACAATTCCAACTTTAAAAAGTTTTATTTGAATTTTGTTTTTGTATTTTTTAATACCAAAAAGAAAGGTCTTGAAAATTACCTACCTCTTCTGCATATGATTTTCCAATTCCATCAGTACCACCTGTGACAACTGAGAAAAGAGAAAAAGTAACAGTTTAGTTTAAGAATTATAATTAAGAACTGATCATACATAGCGAGGAGCCACCAATTAGACACAAGATGACCTGTGTGGTATACTTTGGTATAAATTTGAACCACCTGGAGCAATACCAGCAGTTCAAATTTAACTCTGAAAACCCACCATAATGACTAATATTAAAAAGCTTAGCTGGTTTGGCTCAGTGGATAGAGTGTCAGCCTGTGGACTGAAGGGTCCCGGGTTCGTTTCATTTTTTTTTACTACTGACCACAGATAATCAGACATATAAAAATTCTCGTCGTCTTTAAACTGGTTGAAAAATAAACTTCCATATTGTTAAAGTCACTATTATAGGTCCAGAAAAGGAAGGGTAAGCTGTCAGTAAAGTAAGTTATTAAAACAAAATATTTAGTATTCACATCATTACAGGAATATTTACTCAAGGTAATTCACTGATACCCAATTAATTCTCACATCAGCTATCACCCCAATCTAAGCTCTCACCACAACGCACGAGGACTTGTGCAGTGAGCCCTTCAGTGCTTTCTCACTCAATTCATGCTATACAGTTAAGAATTCACTTTCTGAAACACCACTTTTATGATCTCGTTCTTTTCTCAAGTGACAATGTTTCCCTATTGCCAATTATTAAAACTTCTTGCCATTCACTTCTCTCCACAACTACTACATGCGGCTACCATCATTCATCTCCCACAAAAACTACTGCAGCCACTTTCTAACTATTTCACCTGCTTCCATCCTCCAACTCATTCTCCACATTGCAACCAAAGTGGTCACTCCAAAGGGCAAATCTGATCACTTCCCTGCCTAAAACCTGTCAATGGCTTCCCACTGCCCTAATTCTTTACAAGGTCTTCCAAACACCATCATTTTCCTCTTACCACTGACTGCCTATCATACTGAAATTTTTTCAGTTCCTCCAAGATAATATGCTCTTTCTTTACAAATGCTGTTCCTGCTACTCCCAATTTCACTCCAACCAGTGTCTCTCTCCCATCCTTGAGGTATTTGGTTGAATTTTTCCTCTCCCACCATTCTTTCCTTAACCTCTAGACCAGGGGTCCTCAAACTACGGCCCGCGGGCCACATGCATGCAAATACAAATATTGTATTTGTTCCGGTTTTGTTTTTTTACTTCAAAATAAGATATGTGGAGTGTGCACAGGAATTTGTTCATAGTTTTTTTTTAAACTATTGTCCGGCCTTCCAACGGTCTGAGGGACAGTGAACTGGCCCCCTGTTTAAAAAGTTTGAGGACCCCTGTTCTAGACTAACAGGATCTCAAAACTCTCTGTCCCAATTGTACTCTGTATTCCCTCTTACTAGCATTCATCATATAGGTTGCCATAAGGGTCTGAGTGACCACTGTTGACCTTACAAATAGAAAAATTGCTACAGGTATCACCCATAACCAATAGCCTCAGGTATTACCCACAATCCTACGAGGTGTGGGAGTACATATGATGGCCAGGGGCAGACCTGAGGTAGGGGTAAAAAAAAGAAGGGAAGAGAGGAAATAAAAAAGGCTATGTCTCCTATATAAATACTAGAGGCCTGGTGCACAAAAATTTGTGCACTCGGGGGGGAGGGGGGTCTCTCAGCCCGGCCTGTGCCCTCTCGCAGTCTGGGACCCCTCGGGAGATAACGACCTGCTGGCTTAGGCCTGCTCCCGGGTGGCAGAGGGCAGGCCCAATCCCTAGGTGCAGCCCCTGGTCGGGCTCAGAGCAGGGCCGATTGGGGGGTTGGGGCACCACCCTCTGTCACACTCAAGGCAGGGTCGATGGGGAGGTTGAGGCGCCACCCCCGTCACCCACAGAGCAGGGCTAATCCGGGGGTTGGGGCGCTGCCCTCTGTCACACACAGAGCAGGGCCCATCAGGGGGGTTGGGGAGCTCCCCCCGTCACGCACAGAGCAGGGCCGATCAGGGGGTTGGGGAGCTCCCCCCTGTCACTCACAGAGTAGGTCCGATAGGGGAGTTGGGGCACCGTCCCCTGTCACACACAGAGCAGGGCGGATCACTGGGTTGGGGCGCCACCCTCTATCACCCACAGAGCAGGGCCAATCAGGGGGTTGGGGCGCCGCCACTCTCACACTCAGGGCAGGGCGGATGGGGAGGTTATGGCTCTACCCCATCACACACAGAGCAGGGCCCGGGGGGGGGGGGGGGGGGGGGGGGGGTGCCACACCCTCACACAGAGCAGGGCCGATCAGGGTGTTTGGGCACTGCCCCGTCATGCTGATCCCGGTGCCGGGAGGCCTCTCGGCTCCTCTGATCCCGGTGCTGGGAGGCATATTACCCTTTTACTATATAGAAGAGGCCTGGTGCATGGGTGGGGCCAACTCATTTGCCCTGAAGGGTGTCGTGGATCAGGGTGGGGGTCCCCACTGGGGTGCCTGGCCAGTCTGGGTGAGGGGCTGAGGGCTGTTTTCCAGCTGGGGGTGACCCAAATGCTCCTTTTTCCTTTTTTTTTTTTTTTTTTTATTCTGGACCAGCTTTAGCTTGAGGCTTGGCTCCAGCTCTTAGGCCTCCGCTGCTGAAAGTAGGTTTCTGGCCTTTGCATACAATGTTGCGATCCTGCTGGCTGAAGTTGGGCAGTATTTGTTACAATGTTTGAAACTGCAGGCTCAGAGGCCTGCAGCCGCAAGCGGGAACGTTGGTTTCCTCCGTCACTGAGGCAAGCAAGCCTCATGTTAGTTTCAAGCTGCCTGGCTGCCGGCCACCATCTTGGCTGACAGTTAATTTGCATATCTCGCTGATTAGCCAATGAAAAGGGTAGCAGTCATACGCCAATTACCATGTTTCTCTTTTATTAGTGTAGATAACACCAGAACCAAAATTTGCAAGCCTTTGAGAAGATGGAAACTGACAAATATAAAGAATATCCCAACTAGGCATCCGAAAGTATCTAGCTTGTTACAGATTATATAAAATACTGGCAACTGACCAGGGCTCAGCTTCCAGATTTTATACAGTCAACAACAATACTTTAGGTTGTGTAGGTTACAATTATTCTACTTTTTGTCCTCAATTTGCTAGGAACAGATATTTTTAGTAAGTACCAAATCAACTTATCAAAATTAAACATCAAAAATAGACTAGAATAGAGGAGCACTGGAAGCAAACATGTTATTTTTAGCTCTTCTGTCTATTCGCTGCCACTGCCTACCAAATTCTGACTGCAGAGCCCATGCATAAGAGCTTAGTTATTCCAGGCAGGTTCCTCCTCGTGATCCTTTTTTTTTCTCCCTGAACACCTGGATGCAGAAAACACTCGATTGATTAAAGATTAATACTGCCGCAAACCATGACAGCTGCCTTTCCTCTGAGTGCTTTTGGGGGTGGGGAGAATAGAAAATGACAGAGAGCTTGCATCAGTATTCCACTTGGGGATCTATTACATGGAAAGAAAATTGCTATTTCAATTCCCTTTTGTTGCTAAAAATAGCAGTCTCGATTGATTCAAGCAAAGGGGGAACCGGCTGAGCAGTGCTGAATTTAGAAACCACTGAAGTCCCAAGTGCAAATGCTAACGTAGTCTAACACATGCCAGCTCATATCTAACAAAGAACAAAGAGAAGCATGCAGGCTGCAAGTTAATAAAACAGCAGCAACTTCCTGCATTTTTATTAAAGGTAATCAGTGAAAGTGATGCAAAATAAGAAAAGACTATTGTAACTTGTTCTTCTAATAATATTTTAATTGTAAAAAATTTACAGGAAAAAAAATAGATTATGCATAAAACCAGATATTGTAGGCATTTCCCGCAACATCATGGTCTGGGAAAGTTACAGATTTTTTTCAAGCACAGTATGTTACTAAAGAAAGAAAATGCCCAGTGTACATATATGCTGTCCCAGGAGAGAGGCTCCTCCCACATAGTCCTCTCTAGTTCCCTAATGACCACCCTCTTCAGCCTTCCCTCCTCCTCTCTTGACCCAACCAAATACTGCAGATAGTTATAGCATGCCACTTAAAAACCTAACAAACCAAGAAGCAAAACAAAACACATTCAAAAACAGCCCATTGGTTCAGAAGAGGGAGAAGAAAGAAGCTCTGAAAAGCAGGATCTGCTGAAGACAGCTGATCCTCTGGGCTGACTTCCAGGCAAGGACTTGTAATGCCTTCTGGTGGCACTAAAACCCCAAAATACCTTCTGCCTGAATTTTTCACTTTACTTGGTTAACTGACAACCTTTCCAGATAATGATTCATTTCACTTAATTCCACATCCTCTTTAAAAATGCAAACGCCTGTGTAAGAATTAAAAAGCTATCAATCCTGTGCCTCGATATCATTTAGAGAGGATTCAAATGCTCTGTGGCTTTTTCTGGGGACAACCAAAATGTGACATGGAAGGGGCTTCATGAGAGTAGGGATTCTGGCTGGGGGGGAAAAGAAGTTACTACTTCTGGACCACAAGCCTAGTAAAACCATAATGGAAAGGTGTTAGGCTTTTGCTAATTTAATACAAAGAGAATATATGAAGTGGTTAAGAATATGGGCCCTAAAATGAGACGGGCAAGGTTCAAGTCTAGATTCAAATGCCAATTCTACCATCTATCATAAGCTGGTTAACCTCATTTGTCTGTTTCTTTATTTGTAAAATGAAGACAATATTATCTGTCCCATAGAGTCATTGAAAAGATTCAATTAAAAATGTTAATAATGGTACCTGCCTACAGGATAGTTTGAGAATTACATGGTACAATGTATATAATGTACTTAATATGGGACTTGGCACATAGTAAATGCTCAATAAATGTTAGCACTAGCCAAAGTAGAAAGGAAAATTTTAAAGTAACTAAGGATAGATATGATACCAAAACTATAAGCAACAAAAGAAAAAGTAGGTTGGACTTCATTAAAACTAAATGTTGGGGTGTTTTTTTATTTTTTACATCAAAGGACAATATCAAGAAAGTAAAAATAAATCCCAAAGAATGGGAGAAAATATTTGAAAACCATCTATC